CGAGGCCTTAGGTGGTTCCACGTTCACCGTCCAGGGTTCTACTTCACCTGTGGGCTTTAGATGAGTGTCGGCTGGTGGCCAAGGCATTTGTTGTTCAAAGTATTCAGCCCACCGGTCAAGGCGTTCCTCCTTATTAGAGACGGTCGTTCCATTCTGATGCTTGATGCTTTCACTCACAGGTGGTTTCCGGGGAACGGTCGCACGGATCAATTGAAATAATCTCCGGGCAATAATCTCTGGGCTGATATTATTGTCCCGTGATAAGAAATTGAAAGGAGTGCTACACCGTTTTTTTCGCTTGTCCTTCAGGTAAACGGAATCCGCTGAACGATAAGAACAAACCCGACCTGGGAAGCCTGTGCGAAAGAGTCGGTCCCATGTAGCAATCCGTGTAAAGCAATACTGCACTTGTCAAACACTCACACCACTCACCGATGCTACATACACCACGAAGCTGCTCATCATTGCCTTTGTCCATGGTGACAATTAGGTCTTTAACAATCGCGCTCACAAGCTGTTCCTTTACTTTGTTTGTCAGGGGGCCTAATCTAAAACGGGGTGTAGAGGAACGCACGCAAAAGAAAACGTACGACTTTACAGCCAGACCTTGTACTTCTCCACTTGGATCACGAAGAAGATGGAGCACCAAATTAACTACCTAGAGTCTCCAAATGATACATAAAACATGACTGACTTTTTTCTCACTCTGGGCGTCTAACCTGAGCGAGTCCGCTTGAAGCTCATTAATCAGATCGTTGATACCCATGAACCGATAGTCTGTGTCTGTAGAGACCATCTGAACGAAAAATGAGGCCGAATATGAAAGTATATAGAGGCACACCTTCTCAAGCAGGGCACCAACCGTCTTGTTTGGTGTCGCGTCCATCGCGATCCTTACACCGTACTTTGCAGCGGACGCAATTAAAATCACGCGCACGATTGGTCAATTGGTTCGATGGGTTCAATAGATGTATGCACCAATACATGGCCTCCGCCGGCGGCTAGACGCACAATGTATTTTTATGCAAAACGCCTGCGGACGAAATAAAAACTTTAACGTCAAAATGTTGCACTTCTTTGCATATATGCGTAGACTGAAAACCCCCCTCATCTGC